AACAAAAACACCAAATTCTTCTCAATACTGAAAAAGATACGAAAAGAGGGAGAACAAATAGACCACATGACCACACCTGAAAATGTTACATACATTATGTGTGTGCGTTTATGAGTCCCTCATAAAGTGAAATAAGAATATCTGTATATCATGTTTCCATTTAAGAAGGAAGGAATTGGAAAAATATATATATACTTACACATACATATGAATAAATATAATGGGGAGAACAAAGGCAAAAGGGAAAAAATTAAATTTCCTTACAACTTACAGCCCACTGACAAATCTTTGAGACAGGCAGAGTGACCTTCTTCTTGGAACTCAACTGCCTCCATGTTAATACTTTGCTAAGGGCAAAAGGCAGCCTTAGCTTAATATTAGCCCAAACTCCAGGATCCTGTAAGTCTCCTTTAACATTTAAAAATTCCTTTGGAAACTTCCATTTCTCTACCCCCATATCTCTTTGTACATTAGCAATCATCCTCCAAACATGTGGCCCCCTGATAAACATTTGAAGGGTCTCATGACTAAGGGTTTACTAGATAGTAGTAAATCACCTTTTCCTCATAACAGCTAGCCCCTCAAGGTCCTGGAAACCTTGCTTCCAAATTCCTTAGAGGAAGATGTCTATGGCCATATCACCCTGAATGCGCCTGATCTCAAATTCCTTAGAGGCTTATGCTCTCCCTAACCTCCTCCCAATTTAAAAGTATATAATCAATCAACCCTCACAACCCCAGTGCAGCATTTCCTGCCCACGGGTCCTGTCCCCTGGCTTTAATAAAACCACCCTTTTGCACTGGAGACACCTCAAGAATTCTTTCTTGACCCTTCACTCCAGACCTCAACATTTTCACATCAAATACATCCACATCCACATTTATATATGCCTGTGTGTGTGTGTGTGTGTGTGTGTATACATTGACGTATGTATGTGGATGTATACCTTATACTTAAGACAGTGGTAGGATAAAGTTTTTAAAATAATTACCTAAAGAGAGAGTTAGGAAGGAATACAATGCAAAGGACATGGATAGAAGCTAGACTGTTTGGAATGTATATATATTTTTTATAAATGTAATTTTGGAGACATGTAAATATTTTACATAAAAGAAAATTAAGTTTTAAGGAACAATCCCTAAAAATCAAGTAAAATGTAAAAAAAGAGCAAACGTGTGTTTCTGGATGGTGGCATTGCCATGCAGAGAGAAACTGTTCCAAGTAACTTTAAAACAGGGCAGTTTGTACATTCCTAGCGGAATATCCCTTCAGAACAGCCGCAGCAACAACAACAAGCAAACAAACCCTTAAGCTGTTTTCAGTAATCGTTTTGTTGATGCTAGTGTCATTGTCATTTGAGTGAAGTGGTGTTTTGAGAACTGCAAAGAAATGGGTAAGAACAGTAATTAAAAACCTTATTCTTTTTTTTTTTTTTAAAGATTTTATTTATTTATTTGACAGAGAGACACAGCGAGAGCAGGAACACAAGCAGGGGGAGTGGGAGAGGGAGAAGCAGGTTTCCCGCTGAGCAGGGAGCCCGATGTGGGACTCGATCCAAGGACCCTGGGATCATGACCTGAGCCGAAGGCAGACGCTTAACGACTGAGCCATCCAGGCACCCTACAAACCTTATTCTTAATTTGAGTATGAACTTAAAATGTGTCTTTTAAAAAGCATATAACCTATTTTGTAGCCTTATCCCCTGAAAGGCCTAGAAATAATGACTGACCCAGTAGCAGTGAACACCCCTAGTGATCATTCTCAAATACCATTTCTAAATATTAATGGTGTTTAGAGTGCCTGGGTGGCTCAGTCATTAAGCATCTGCCTTTGGCTCAGGTCATGGTCCCAGGGTCCTGGGATCGAGCCCCACTGCAGGCTCTCTGCTCAGCGGGAAGCCTGCTTCTCCCTCTCCCATTCCCCCTGCTTGTGTTCCCTCTCTTGCTGTCTCTCTCTCTCTCTCTCTGTCAAATAAATAAATAAATAAATAAAATCTCTGGGGGGCCTGGGTGGCTCAGTGGATTAATTGACTGGCTTCGGCTCAGGTCATGATCCTGGAGTCCCGGGATCAAGTCCCACATTGGGCTGTCTGCTCGGCAGAGAGTCTGCTTCTCCCTCTGACCCTCCCCCCTTTCATGCTCTCTCTCGCATTCTCTCTCTCTCAAATAAATAAATAAAATCTTTTTAAAAAAATGGTGTTTAGAGACCTGCTGATTCCAAGTCTGAGTCCAGAAATGTACGAGGTGAACCTGGTGCACCCAGTTATATCAGAAAGCAAAGAGGCTACTAAAGAACATAGAATTCTGTCTAAAGCATTGCAGAGCCTACTTGACTGGGCTCCCACTGGACAAAGATAGGACAGTTTGAACACCAGTAAGGAAAAATATTGTAATGGCTTGAAAACTTCAAATATGTTAATTCTATGAGTCATAGGAACGCGTAGAAACAAACAGAAACCTTTAGAGAATACTAGGGAACCAAATCATTATTTTTAAATCTGTTAAATAAGAGGAAATAATCAAGTTTTTTATTTTGCCTTTCACATGTAAGCATTCCTCAGAGTAACCAAATAGTTGAGGGGAAATTTCTCTTTACAGAGGTATTCCTGCTGATAAACGAAGACGGAATGCTACCAACATCCTGCTGAAAGTACACAGCCCACCTCTGAAATATTCTTGCAAACAAGAAAACAAAACCCTGAATCTGATCAAGCCTCTAGTTCTAACTACTAATTTACAGGAAAGAGAACAGACAGAGGGATATGTTAAATTACACCACGGGGATTCATTCAGCCAAATAACAGACTGTGGGAAACTGCAGAACAGATGACTCACTTTTTTTCAACAAATTGCAAAGAAAAAAGTGATGGAGGGGAAATCTATAGATTAAAAAAGATTTAAGAAACGTATTAACCGGTTGCAATATATAAGTTTTACTTCAATTTTTGTTTAAATGGGGATAAAAAAGAACATTAATAGGACATTTGAGGAAATGGGAATACTGCCTTGTTATTTAATAGTATTAAAGAATTATTATTGAGCGCACATGTACGTGTGTGTGAGAGAGTGTGAGGAGAGAAGGGGACAGAGAAGTGGTCTTACTGTATTTTTTTTTAAGAAGAGTCTGTCTTTTAAAGATGTTGAAATATTTACAGTTGAAATGATTTGCTGTTTGGGATTTCCTTCAAAAGAATCTAGGATTGTGGGCAGGAGAATGTATGCAGTGTTACAGAGGGAACAAAATAAGCCAGGAGTTGAGAATTGTTGATTGGCGATAAGTACAGTAACAGTATTCGCTTTTGATTCTTTGAGAAAGATTCTATGGAAAAAATTTTAGTAAAAATCTAAAAACAGTGTAGTAAAAATCTGGCCATAGCTGCTCCATAAGAATGGCTCAGAACAAAATAAAAACCTCAGTAATACAACTAACTTATTTCCCTATAATCAAGTTTACTACCCTTCTTTTTTAAATAAACTTTTTATTTTGTATTAATTTTAGACTGACAGTAAAGTTGCTAAGGTAGTATAAATAGTTCTCGTGTACCCCTCACTCAATTTCTCTCCCTATTAATGTCTTATATAATGGGTAAAACATTGATACATTACTATTGATGAAATACCAGACTTTATTTGGGTTTCACCAGTTTTTCCATCACGGTCCTCTTTTTGTTCTGGGACCTAGTCCAGGGTACCACACTGCGCTTACTTGTCTGTCTTTCTAGTCTTCTTTGGCCTGTGACAGTTATCTTTCTTTCTTTGTTTTTCATGACCTTTACAGTCTTGAATACTGGCCAGTAGCCTTTAGAATGTCCCCCAATCTGGATTTGTCTGATGTTTTTCTTAAGATTAGACTGGGGTTATGGGTTTTGGGGAAGTGCCCTTGTCACATTACATCAGAGGGTATGTGTTATCACCATGACATCACTGATGATGTCAACCTTCATTGTCTTCACTGTGAAGTCAGTATTTTTTGCTTTCCCTACTCTGTTCTTTGGAAGCAAGTCATTAAATCTGGCCTACCCTCAAGTGGTGGTGGGAGGGTAGTGTTAAAGTCTGTTTTCTGAAGGGGGGGTGTATCAGGGGTCCTCAAGACCACATCCAGGTTCAGTGACTGACTAATAGGCCTTAGCATATAGTCATACTGGTGGGTAGGCCTTATTACGGCAGAAGGATACAGAGCAAAATCCGCAGAGGGAACAGGTGCATGACGAAGATTTTGGAGGAAACCAGGCAGAAGCCTCCAGGAGTCTTCAGTGGAGTCCCACAGGATGGGCTACATTTCCCCAGCAATGAGCTGTGACAACACAGGTGAAATGCCTACGAGAAAACTCACCCGAGTCTAGGAGAATTGGCAATTGGTCAGGTAGGCAGTCTGTGCCTGGCATGTATCAAAATTCTAGACTCCCAGAAGAAAAGATGTGCCTTATCATTTATAGAAAGTTTTATACCAGTGTAGGGAACTATTTACTGGGCAAGTTCCCAGGCCCTGGCCAGAGGCCAGCCTTGCAAGCGGGCCTTTCTAAGGAGAGTGGTCAACGTTAACTCTTTTCTGTATAGGGAAGTATCTACGTGTTGTTACCTTTACTGCACATTTTTGAGAAAAATGGAATTAGATTTAAAAACAGCATAATAATGGGAGCTATTATGTGTTTGATGTAAGAACACCAAAATTAAAATTAGATCAAGGGTGTCTAATTTCTTTGCTGTGCAGAATAAAATATGTGGCAATCTAGTCCTCTTTTTGTTCATTTAATGTTTCTCATGCCCACTTTTAAACATTGCTATAAAAATATTACTCATATTGCAACTTTTGAAGCATTTCATAATAAAAAGAATGCCTCCAGGTTGTGACCTCATTTATTGCCAAATAATTAGAAGAAAGCTGTGTAAATTTCATTAATAAGTAATAGCATAACAACCGAAACCTGCCTGGAAATCCCAGAAAGTAATTACTGAGATTTAAGACACAGTATGTATTAGTAATTTACTTTCTTTTAATAGGAAAAACGTGGTCTTCGAGAAATGCGAGTTCTTGAAAATTTGAAGAATATGATCCATGAAACAAATGAACATACTCTTCCCAAATGTAGAGAAATCATGCAGGACAACTTAAACCAAGTTCTCCAGAGATGTAAGCCGGCATTGTTGTTTTTTTTATATATATATTTTATTTCAAATGAATGCTATGCCAAAATGTATTTCCTTCAGTATTTTGGTAGTAGGTGGAGAGAGAATTCTTAACCGAAACATATAAATTGAAAGCTCTGCCATAGAGAACATTGACTATTTCATGATTAATGTATGTTGCCGTTACTGTTGAGAGCATTAATCTCCAAAGTGAGATGTGTGCATCTGGAGTCCTTTTAGGATGTGAGAAAATTGCAACACTTTTTACCTTTTTTGTTTAATTATCCATAAGAAGAAATTTGGTAACTAAGAGGATATGAAATGAAACTTCTTTTTCAGACAGGATACTAGAGTTTTTAACTTTTTAAAAACATAATCCTGTCATAAATGTTTGTATCTTATAACTGTTTTCATTAAGCAAAACATTGTAATGTGGAAAGATATTAAAAAAGAATCCTTATTAAACATATCAAATAATAATATAAAATAAAAGTTTTAATAACTGATCTTACTCAGGGCTTCTCCTTAGATCTATATTGACGGTATTCAGCTTGTCCAAGGATAGATAATGCTGGTAACTGAAAAAATATCTTTCTGGGGGGAAAATAAAAGAAAACAAAACTAGCCAGTAATATAATGATCTGTGAAGGAAAGCAACAGGGAGATTTGGTTAATAACTGAGTTAAGCCAGTCTTTGTATTCAAGTCCAAGTTAGTCTTGTGTAGTCTAATGCCTTTAGGAGCTTGGATAGAATGAATGCCCCAAGATTATGTTTGGTTTCCTTGAGTAGAATAGTAAAAAGTCTAAAATTGACCGTGGGCTTTTGCATTTTACTACAGACATCCCTTGTTTGTTTGTACAGTGACTTCCTTAACCCTGACAAACATTCTAGATGTTATACTAACAGTAAAACTTGAATTATTATTAATAAGAATTCTTATGAATGCATTTGAGATGTGCCTATAACCTTCCTTTTCTACACTTTGAGTATATAAAAATAAGTTGGGTAAAACTTGATAACAATCTATGAATGACTATTTTGACTTCATTCTTGGGCTAATATTACTTCTGATTTGAGGACTAGCCTCTTAAAAGTAAGAGTCTTCATAATGAAATAGAAAAGTATTGCTGGTAAAATGGGATTCAGACTGTACACATGTCCTGAAAAGAATTGAAACACATAGGGGCGCCTGGGTGGCTCAGTTGGTTAAGTGACTGCCTTCGGCTCAGGTCATAATCCTGGAGTCCCGGGACTGAGTCCCACATCGGACTCCCTCCTCAGCAGGGAGTCTGCTTCTTCCTCTGACCCTATCCCCTCTCATGTGTTCTCTCTCTCTCTCATTTTCTCTCTCAAATAAATAAATAAAATCTTAAAAAAAAAAAGAATTGAAACACATAAAATACAAAGTTTGGTAGTTAAGGTTTCAAAATCTGTGGACCACCCTGGGTGTAATTAGCTCTGTGAACCCAAGAAAAGACTTTTGGAGGTGTTTGCCTGCCAGAAGCAGGAAAGGCTTCTTCAGTAGGCTTCTGCCCAGGTATATTCTGGTAAGTATTATGAGCATGCGTAGAATGGAGATGATTATCTGCTTTAATTTTAAAGATTTGCCTGGGCCCAGCTGTCATTCCTGGGGAATTTCACATTTAAAAATCTGCCATTTTAAGTCAGAGTGCTGGCTTGTTTATTTTCAATGGTAATTGATCAGGGACTTGTACAAAATCATGCAAGCAAGTTTATATGGAATATACTGGAATATATTTTGACCTAAGTAGCGCTTTACAAGCCTAGGGATGAGTTGGGTTTTGTTTTGTGCCTCTTAACACAACTGCCACATTTATCTCTTCCTGTGGGAGAGCTGTGTGCTCAGAACTCTGCAGGTGTGGCCTTAAGCTGGTGGTCCCACATGTTGCACAGAACTAAGTAACTGTGGAGCAGTAAGGTGCAGACGTCTTGAATTACTGGAATGTAGAACTATGACGAAATCCTCAGCTTGGAACTGTTTCCGCTTTGGGCTGGGCAGCCACCCACCTTGCAGAGTGTCTCCGGATTTGGTGACCAGAAGCTTTAGAACAAAAACTGACCTGTGGGTCCTTAAAAATCAGAAAAAGTAAATGAGAGCTCTAGGAGAATATGGAAAAAGCAGCCTATAAAGTCATCAAGATGCAGCCTTTATGTTATTTTCATCCTGATAACAGTAGTGTCTGTGCCCTGCTTACAAATTATTTCACAGACTCATGGGCTTCACCAACTTTGTTGTGTGGAGATCTCACTGTAGTATTGAGGACCGCGACCTTGATTTTAGAGTAAGAAGGGCAGAGCCTCTCTGGGTTATTCCTTATTCACATTAACTAGCATGGTCATAGGAAAATAGTTTTTTCTTCTTTCCCTCCTTGCTCTCTCTTTTTGAGAACATGACTTTTTTTTTTTTTATTACTTAAACAGAAGGATATATGTTTAAGTAATAAGAAAAAAAAGAGAAAGAAGAGAGCAATAAATCACCTTAGTAACCACCTGAAGATAACCATTGCTTTTTAACTTTGGGGAACATCATTTCAGACATCTCTGTGTATCTCCAAATAGAAGAACGGATAGAGAAATAATGGCTGAATGGCTAGCTGGGAAGGTACGAGGGGGAGAGAGAGTGTTTGATAAGAATGGGCTCATACACTTTTGAAGCTTAGGTATTAATTTTAAATTTTATTTGAATTTAACAGAACAAACACTTAAAACTGAAGGGAATACCTTAAATAAGTGTTTCTGTACTATAAGAGATAGTAGTTACTAAAAGATCAAAGAAAAATAATTAGAAAAACAAAAAAATTACAAAAAACATTCAGAAGTTAGGGTCATGTTGTTATTATTTATACATTAATTAATGCCTTGAGAGTTAGAGGCAACTTTCCCCTCTTTCCTCTCTTCCCCATCCCCTCACCTGAAAATGTTAACTTTATCAAGGTTTGCAGTATTTGTTTTCTATCCTGCAGTTCTAGTGCTGCCAGTTGTTTATTTAGTCTTAGACTATTCAGTTCCTTCTGATTTATTTATTAGATCTGTAATGATATTGTCATAGTTCTCAGTTTGTTTCCTTAGCGCTGCAATTTCATTTTTCATTTCATGCAATGTGTTTGCTCTCTTTTGATAAGTTCATATTGTTGTTTTGTATAACAAAGTACCTATGGAAAATTATATTAGGTTTTCTTTCAGAATAAGTGTTTTGTCTTATCTCTCACATGTACTTTCTCTGCCTCCCAAATCTATTTCTGTACAAATTTAAGCATATTAGAGTTCTAAGAATTTTGTCAACTCATTTTCTCTTTCTAACTTTTGGGGGATGAAGTAATTACAGTGGGGTTAGGAGTCTCAGTTCTTGGCTGCCACATTTCAAGTTTATAATATACAACTATAATTCAACCTTATTCAGTGAAAGATGGAATTTTTTACCTTTTGTTTTTCTTAACTTTTTATTTATTTTGTGGGTTATTTTAAGGGACTGAGTTTGCCTGGTTTTGCTTCACTCTGTCTCTACCTAGAAATCTTTAGGAATTCAACAGTTTAAAATACTAACCAATTTTTAATAGCGCTTTACCAGTTAGAATTTTCTTCTTCACTGACTGCTCCTTCCGCTACCCATCTCCTTCCTCTCCTCCCTTTTCCATTCTCCCCCTGGTCATTCCCTCACATGTATCTTACTAACATATTTTCTTGGCTCCACTTTGAGACTGTGACCAGACTCTGACCACCCTCATCATGTTCCTAACTGCTACCACCCTGGTCTAAGCTACAGTGACCTCTCGCCTAGATTGTTCTAGTAGCCACATAACTCATGTCTTTCCTCCCTGTGGTCTGTTCTCCACATAGGAGCCCGAATGATCTTTTCGAAATGTGTCTTGGCTCTTGTCATTACTATGTCAGGATCTCCTCACCTTGCTTAAGAGAAAAGCCAAAGTCTTCACAGTAGCCTGGACATTTCTACATGACCGCCCCGCTCTGACTTTTTAATTTTCTTCCATTTTCTTTTCCCTCACTTCATTCTAGCTACTCTGGCCTCCTTATTCTTCTTCTAGTATGTGCCAAATGTGTTCCCACTTCAGGGATCCCTCTGGAATACTCTTTGTCCGGTTTTTGTCCCTTGTCATTTCCTATAGATCTCCGCTCAGGTGTCCACAGTGAGACCCTTCTAGCCATGCTGTAATAATCATTGCCCCTCATTCAGGCATTCTCTGGCCTCTTTACCATGCTTTGTTTTTCTCTGGAATATCCACCACCACCTGACATGCTCAATATTTATCTGTATGTTGTCTGTCTCCCCAACTAAAACATAAGTTCCATGAGCTCAGAGACTCTGATTGTTCTCTGCAGTACCCCTGACACCTAAAACAGTGACACATTGTAGTCGCGAAGTAATCATGCATTCATTGAAATGAGTGAATGAGAATTCAGCCAACATCTTCTGCTAGCAAACCAAAATTATTTGCTTATGTATGTGTTTGAGGTTTACATATACACACCATGTTAGAATGTATTTGCTTCTCTTCTGTGAGGACAGTCAGGATGTTGTTAATTTTCGTCTGTGGCACAATTACTGTATGTGGTGCTAATTTTAAAAAATCTTTTGATTGAGAGAAAATAACCTGACAGATTCTTGATGCTTTAAAATCAGTACAGTCTCCTAAAACACTGAGACAACAGGGGAGATGGCTTCCTACTGAATTAGGTATAACACTGCAGTAAGTGATGTGGACGTGATGGGTAGGTTTGCATAATGGGCCTTTTCCCTTGGGGTCTCTAATCATGAAGAAGGAATGTTTGGTATAGTCACATGATTTTTCTTGTATTTTAGAAAAGCAGATTTCATGAAATCTAGAAAGTAAGCCTTTATTATTGTGTGGCTAAAGAATTAAAAAATCAGTTACTTCTAAGGGAGTGAAATTTCTAAAAATGGTCATTCTGTCTGAGCACAAATATGAGGAACAAAAGTTTGCCTCTGACTCCTCTGTCAGATGTGTTCTAATTAAAATTTTAAAGGACATAACAAATGACAAAATGATGTCATAGTCTTGTAACTCTTCTTTTAGATTAAGCCCAGAATGATTTGAAAATGAAGAAGCACCCAAAGACCACAAAATGGATTTTTTTTTAAGTTATGTTTGGAGTCAGGGGGAAAAAATCCAATCAGGAAATGATAGAACCACTGCTTGGGAGAAATGATGTAATATTAATATACCACAGAAAGAAGGCAGATCTAATCAGCTCCCATTTAGTTTTGTTTTCATCTTTTCTGTTAGAACAAACAATGATTGGGAACATAATTTTCAGTCCTAAAATATTATCTTTGATATAACTAAAATAAATGGTTACTGATAAAAACATTACTTTTGAAAAGCAGAATCCTCTTTTACCATATTCTCACAGGGAGGGACCTAACATTTTTCTGAAAGGGAAATCACAGTCCCTGCCCTGTTATGAACTTGTGAGCTATTTGGGGCTAGGTTTGGGTAGGATAGGAAGGCAGAATTGTAAAACACTAGGCAAACCTCTGTTTAAGCAATTACAGGATAAAGTGGTGTGATACACACCTACCTCATAAAGGAATTTCAAATAAGAGAAAATCCTTACAGGGAAAGGATTAATCTGGGAGGGCTTTATTATGAAGGCAGTCAACCTTGAACTGTTCTTTGAAGACAAGTAAAACATTTTCATTAGAAGAAAGGAATAAGGAAAGCATTTTCCATAGGGATAGTACAGTAAGAATAATAGTGATAATAACTTAACTCCTTGACTGCTTACACCTTGTGAAGAACTGTTCTCAGTGGCATTAATATTGCAATTATTTGTAAGCATAGTAGCTTCTGCCGTATTATCTCATTTAATGTCAGTTCTGAAGTGCTCGTATTAGTTCTTATGCTCATTCTACAGATGAGGAACTAAGGTGCTAAGGCACCAGGAGCCGCAGTAGTCACAGCGCCTGGCACATAGTAGGTGCTCATTCAGTATTAAACAAGTGAATGAACGCACAAGCAAACATGCCAAGTTATGCAACTAAGCGGTCAACTCTAGATTTGACTATGGCTCGCTGTTAACCTGCATGCGAAACAGTGAAATAAGTGAAAACATTTGTGTACAGAAATACAATGGGTCCAGTAAATGAAAGGGTCTGAAAAACTGGTGGATGAAGACCAGTTTCATTGATGAGATCATAAGAGGAGTAGAGTGTTGAGGGTATGAGCCAAGTCCTTAGAGGCAGGGGTCTGATTTTAAATCCTGATTTCTGTACTTACTAGTCGTATTACCTTCTCTTTGTACCTCAGTTTTTTACAGATGCCAAAAATCTGTAAAATGGGACAGTGATCCTCGCCTAATAGGAAAGTGGGATTAAGACGAATAATACATGGGAAGTACTTAGCATGGGTCTGGGCACTAGTAATACTCAATAAATAACTCTAATAATTATTACTAGTAGTTGTGGTCCATGAGAAAGGGAAATCACTCAATGAAAACAGTCCGAGAAATTTGACTCTGGCAATGGCAGCCAGGATGAATTAACAGATAAGAGAGGAGAAACAAGAATAGAAAGTTGTGGAAGCATTGTAGGTATCAAGCACTACCTGCAAGAGAGAAGTTTGTATGAATGAGAAAAGGGGGGAGGGAGGGTGAACGAATCAAAGAGACACTGTAAAGACATAATCAGAATGTAATGGTAAATTTATCAGGCATTTTATATCTTTTTGGAGAATTCTGAAGTCATTGTTGACAACTTGTCATTGGAATTAGTACTTAAAATGCCCTTGGCTTGTACCTCAAGGCTCAAGAATGATGGTGGTTCTAATTATGGCATCCTGAATATACTGGCAAAACTTCTTTTTTCCCTTCTAGCCACCTCACCACGACCAAAATAGTATCAGTTCTTTTATCATGAGATCTAAAACAATCCAAGTTTTGGTGTGTTTTGTTTTGTTTTGTTTTTTGATTGAAACTCATTGTCTGTTTTATTTCAGTGCGAGCAGCTTCTGACTCAGTCTGTAGACTCCAACAGAGGGAGCAGGAACGAAAGAAGGTAAAAGTAGATCATTTGGCTAATGGGGTCTATAACTCTTAATATCACCGAATTGTTAGCAGTTGCTTTTGATTAAAAAAATCTCCAAATTTGTTTTCTTTATGCAGTGATTTAAAAATGGCTAATTCATTGAAGATAATGTTGAGGAGGTATGAGCACATGATTGCCCCATCCATACTTTTCTAATTCAAATTGCAGACCTCTTTTTTTCCTTTTTCAACATTTCCATGTTTTTGGTATTTGTCTGATTGAGAACAGAGACTAAGACTTTTACATAGAACAAAAAATACCCACTGTATTGGAAATATACATCTTTTATTTAAGCTTGAAGCATTGATGACTATATTTCTTCTAGAAAAGGAAGCATTCATGCCTGTGGATGGGTTATTTAATGAATAGTCCTAAGAGTATGTGAATCACTTGCTGGGTAGTGCTTTGCTTATTGAAAGTATATCTTAAATAAATTCAGATGTGGAAAAACAGCACAAGAATTTAAGTTCCTGTGATAATTTGCTGTTTTCACTTACAATTTCCATAAGTATTTTTATAACTTAATCATTGTTCTAAACTAATAAAGATACACTTTTTAAGAAATATTGAAAATACTAAATCACTGTGAATATAATGCCTTTTATGTATCAACAAGTGTTATTATCTCCATTTCTCTGGAATGGATTGTGGTTAATCCACAATAATAGTTCAGATCTGCACTGTATAAAAATGCAGTGAAATAAACCTTGCCAGAGTTTAAGTTTCTACATCTTCTGTTCAATTCTAAATATCGATACAGAGTTTAAAAATTCAACAATTTGGTGAATTGGGCCTTACTGAAAGGACTTGACATTTCAGGCAGGTGGGAAGACTGCCCAGGAGGAGTAGGGTCCTAGCAGGCTGGGTCAGGAAGCAGGGCCCCTGAGCATGTTGATAAAATGGCAAGGCAAAGCGATGCCGGGAAATCTGTCAGAGTGTAGTGCTTGCACTGTCCAGAGAGCACTGTAAAGGCAGGCACTGGAGCTCATGTGGGCCATGCCAGGCTGGACAGCAGATAATTTTTAGTTCTCTCCTTTGCGAGGTGCCACTGGGGATGAAAGATTTTAGTTTAAGTTGAAGGCAGATCATACACTCAGGAACTAACAGTCCAGAAGAGGAGTCCCAAACTACTAACACTAGTATGATGTAGGATAAAGTAAGAACTGTGGTCAAGTTACAAAGAACTTTGTAGCATCTTGGTAGAAGGAGTAATGTATTAGGAAGATGGTGGCATTCAAGCCCAACTTTGATCAGTGAGTAGGAATTCAGTTGATGGAGGATGGGAAGAAAGATATTGTAGGGTGAGGGATACAGTGTAAGCAAAGACAAAAGGCTGTGAAGTCAGTAGTCCCACGCAGCTGCTATGTAGAGGATCTAAGTGGATATTTCTGGAGATGATTGTGGAGAATCTTGAATGCTATATTAAACAATTTGTGGTTGAGGGCACCAGGAGCATTTCTGGTTTTGAGAAACAGAAACGCTATTTGATAGAACACTGGCTGTATTGGCTGTTACTGTAAATAAGCAGTTCTCTTGGTTTTCAAAATAAAAATTAAAAAAAGTGTTCTGTGTAGCATATTACTATGTGATTTAAGCAGATTCACATCAATATGCACTCATACATTATTGGCCTTTCTTCCTGAGAGATTGTCAGAACAGTTAGGATTGTGATGAAATGTCAATTCTTGTCACTCTTGAGTAGAACTAACCTAAAATTAAATTATAATTGGAATAGTTCCTCTTGTCGCTTGGAACTTTCTGACATTTGGTGTTTTAACTGAATATAAGTAGGAAAATGACCAGCTTCGGTGAGAAAATACCTGGAATCTTCTACTTCTGGTAGTTCCTTTGTTGGCTAGCTGTGTCCTCTTACACAAGTCCTTGAGCTTCAAGCTCTTCATCTGCAAAATAAAAACCAGTTATACTTATCTGATAGATTGATTTTTCTACTTACCAGATAAATTGTGTTATATAATCTACGTGAAACAGCTTTGCAGATTGTATCCCACTCCTAGTGGAAGGCATCATTTTCCCCCTGCCAGCTCGATTATTGTTTAAGGTGGGTAAGAACCCTGCTGTGGTCTCTTAGAGTTGGTGAAGCTCTTGAGAATCCCACCCATTCACAATTTCTTAAATTAAAAGATACTAAGATACTGTACTGTGGTTTGAATAAAAATGGCCTCAAGAAATAATAAAGTCCTTAGATTATGTTAGTCTTAAATATATTTCTAATAGGTATTTTTTTTTTTTTTTTTTTTTGACAGAGAGGTAGAGAGCACAAGTAGGCAGAGCAGCAGGCAGAGAGAAAGGGAGAAGCAGGCTCCCACTGAGCAGGGAGCCCGATGCGGGGCTCGATCCCAGGACCCTGGGATCATGACCTGAGCCGAAGGCAGCCGCTTAACCGACTGAGCCACCCAGGCGCCCCTATTTCTAATAGGTATTATGTCAGAGAATGTTACTGAACTATTTTTTAATGTGGAATACATATTAAAAATCAATATTTTAGAATGTACTGAAATGTGTTTCACTAAGAATTATTATGGCATTTACGAAGCTAAATGTGTAAGAATCCACTCTGATTATTTTCTTTTCTCAAGATAATTTAATAAAATTCAACAGCTAAATGTTACACAAAGATGCATTTCTCAGACAGTGCTCAGAGAAAAGTAAACATTCTTTATATTCTGCAGGTCAATAAACCTTTAGTCTTTGTTTCTTTTTTAGTGCTTGTCTAGTTAGCAGAACATTTGAAATATGTATCTTTAAGGACCCTTTTCAATACTGCTATATCTGATTTTTGCCAAAACTGACATGGCAGAGGTTTCAGATTACATATATATATAAAAGATATAGACATAAAGTTTAAATTTTCATCTAGCAAATGTGTACAAAGCAAAATTGACCTCTAGCTGGGTTTTACAGTCTCATGTTAATTGTTGCCTTTGGTTATACTGCTGGCTACATTTTGTATATTTGAATGGCTCTCAGAACAAAGAAAGATGGGAGTAGTAATGGAATAAAATAGACTATTGCCATTAATCTTTAATTCTTTTATGTCAAGACAATATGTGGAATTCTGTGGGAAGTAAATTATGATAAACGTCATTCATCCAAATTACACTTCCCACAATTGATACCTAAAAAGTACATTCAGAAGAACAATAAATGCACATTCCCCAGTTATTTGACATATGTCTTGAAAACTCCCCTCTAGTACAAAGTTGCATTTTGGAAGCTAGCATTAAAAGTAATGAAATGAAAATACAACTAGTTTAGAAAATTCAGTGACTTAAAAATATACCATCAAGGGAAACAAGCTGTTAATACCTGTCAGTAGTTTAAACTTAGGTTCATGCACGCGTGTCAACTTTTGAAGCCATATTCGACCAGACTAGAGATAATAATAAAGTAAATACAAATCCTTTGATTCATCTTGTCTGCAGATATTTACTACATTTAGTTATACCCCTGCATGATTGTTTTCATGAGAGCAACAAAATAGCATATATATTATTCATCATAGAGTTTGAAAATGCAAAGGAATAGCTGTTATTCTGACACTTCTTACTGAAGTAAATTCTTTTTTATTTTTTGGTAAAATTAATGATAGTGTATTACTAACAGATGTTTGAAAGGGCCTTTTAGGCCTTAGTTGGCCAATTCAGAGTTTTCCCTTAGGCCAGGGTGTCTCAACCTCTGCACTGTGGACATTTGAACAGATAATTCTTTGTTGTGGTGGCTTGGCCTGTGCTTTGTAGGATGTTTGGAAGCATCTTTGGCTTTTACCCACTACATGCCAGTAGTGTTTCCCCCTAATCTGTGCTGTGATAACCAAAAATTTGAGGGACAAGAGAAAATTAAATGGTGGTTAAACCGCCCCCCCCCACCGTTAAGAATCACTGATTTAGACTATAGTATATGCAAAATTTTGTTCTTATTATGTATCTCAGAGTTCATTTATAGACCTATTCCTAGACATAATTTGGCCTCAGGATTGGCTTCTCTTTAAATTTATCTCTAATGAGATTATCATTATATATATATATATATAAATTATCACTGTACAAGTCTTTTGCCTCATTGGTTAAATTCATTCCCAAATATTCTTTTCAATGCTCTTGTAAATGGAATTTTCCTAATATCCTTTTTGGATTGTTCATTATTAGTATATAGAAATGCAACTGATTTTTGAGTTTTTTGATTTTGTATCCAGCAAATTTCCTGAATTTGTTCATTTTAGTGTTTTTTTTTGTGGAACCTTATGGTTTTCTACATATAAGACTATGCTGTCTGTAAGCACAGATAATTTTGCTTCTTCTTTTCCAATTCGGATGCCTTCATTTTTTCCCTCCTAATTGCCCTGGCTAGGACTTCTAATACTATGTTGAGTAGAAGTGGCTAAAGCAAAATTTTGTTGTCTCCTTCCTGATATTAGAGGGAAAGCTTTCAATTCTTTGCCATTGGATATGATGCTAGCTGTGAGTTTTTCACATATTGGCCTTTATTATGTTGAGATAGTTTCCTTCTATCACTAGTTTGTGGAGTGTTTTTACCACGTAAGGTAAAAAAAGTTCATGTCTTGAACTTTGACCAATACGTTTTCTGCATTAGATCGAGATGATTAACGTGTTTTTTTTCCTTCATTCTGTTGATGTAGTATATTTTATTCATTGATTCTCATGTGTTTTGAACCATCCTTACATTGCAAGAACAAAATAGTGTATGACGACCCTTTTAATATGCTGTTGAACTCAGTTTGCTAGTAATTTATTAAGGATTTTCTATCAGTATTCATCAGGAATATTGATCTGCACTTCTTTTTTCTTATAGTGTCTTTATCTGGCTTTGGTCTCGGGACATTGCTGGCCTCTGAATGAGTTGGGAAGTCTTCTCTCCTCTTCAAATTTTTTGAAGAGATTGAGAAGGATTAGTATTAATTCTTCTTTATTTTTTTAAAAAGATTTATTTAT